AATCACCATACTAGAATTCTTGAGGGTGTCAACTAGGGCTGTCAATTGACCCGTGTTTATGCCTGCGATTAACACAGGACAGGATTAACGCATTAACTTTTTTAACGCATTAATTTTTTAAACACGTTAATTGCAGGTGTTAATGCTGCGCTGCCCCTTTGAAATGTCACTCTGGCACTTCAAAGAGGCAGCGCAAGTGAAACTGGGGAGCAGCTGGAGTGACCAGATGATCCACGACTCCGCATTGCAAAGCCCCTTTGAAGTGCCACAGCGCTTCCAAGGGGCAGCGCTGCATGGAGCCCTGGGTCATCTGGGGACTACAGCTGATCTGGGCTCCAAGCAGTGCTGCCCTGTTGAAACGCCATGGTGGCATTTCAAAGGGTAGGTGCACGCGATTAAATTTTTTAATCACTTGATAGCGCTAGTGTCAACACATACTAGACAATGGTGATCCACTGAACACAGTGTATGTGGACTTTTAGAAAGCATTTGGCAAGGTCCTTTACTAAAGACTCTTTAACAAAGTAAATAGTCATGGGAAAAGAGGGAGGTCCTCTCATAGGGTGTGTCTAGTCTACAGGCTTTTGTCAACAAAACTATACCTGCATCTACACTACCGCTGAGTTCTGTCAACATAACGTCAATAGAAGTTGGCAGTTTTGTCAACGGCAGTAAACCTCATTCTACGAGGAATAATGCCTTTTGTCAACAGAGTTCTGTTGACAGAAGGCGTTATTGCATCTACACTGTCCTTTGCATCTACACTCTCATGTCGACAAAGCAGCTTGCTTTGTCGACAGAACTGGATGTAGTCTAGACGCTCTTTGTTGACAGAAGCTGTGTCAACAGTATCCGTCGACAAAGCCTCTGTCAACAAAAGCCTGTAGTCTAGACGTACCCATAGATCTGCAACTGGTTAAAAAGACAGGAAACAAAGGGTAGAAATATATGGCCAGTTTTCACAGTGGAGAGCATAGGTTCTCAAGGATCTGTACTAGGATCAGTGCTTTTCAACATATTCATAAGTGATCCGGACAAAGGAGTGAACAGCGAGGTAACAAAATCTGAACATGACACAAAATTAGCCTCTCCACCCACCCCCATGAAAAACAAAGTTTTGCCTCGCCAAATGAAGGTGTGAACACTGTTCTGCTGGCAGGAGAGCGCTCTCCTACCGACAAAGTGAAATGGACTTGTCAGGGGTGGAAGTATTTTGTTGGCAAAAGTATGGGCAAACAGCATTCACACGTGCTGATGTTTAGCAACAGGACTGTGTTGATGCAACCTTGTTGTTTAAAACTGCATAGCATAGACATACACGAAGTCTCATCTCCTACAAAACACAGGCCATATAATATCACCAATTTGCAAAACTTCAGATATGCATGAGTTTGTATGTAAAACATCATCTTGTGAGATCGAGACAACAAAAAATAGACATTGCACATACGTATACAACTTTCAAATATTATTTGTCACATTTTTTCAAATATGATAAAGGCACTAGTCTTCATTGACAATTCTATTTACATTTTTTTTAAAAAGAACTCTTAGAGCGATCCAGCCACAAAAACAACAAAAAATACTTCTTATTGATTTCTCATAAATGTCAGTCTAAACATTACACCTTTAATGATTGTCTTTTAAATAGGATTCTGAATTCCCTGTAAATGTATTATTCTTGGATCATCACACAGCTGCCAAGCCATATGTGTTACAAAAGATCAAATAAAATAAAGCAAATATTATTAATCATTTTACTGATGGTTTTTTGCCTTCATTACATTTGTTTTCATCTATAGTTCTGCTTGGTTGTACTTTCAAATTAAAACAGCCAGAAAATTTCACACACAAATATGAATGTCATACATTTAATTATCACAAACATTCGGGTCTCACCCATAATTGCTCTTTATGGGAAGACACCTAGCTTGAATATTTGAGGGAGATATTTGTTTTATTTGTAGTTCCAGTTCAGTAGTCTATGCCTTAATGGGAGCTTTTCCTAGGGGACTTTTTTATTTTTGTAATTTGGTCCTGAGATACGATGATCAGAAATCTAAAACTCTGCTACACTAGCCTTAAGTATCCACTTGTTTACTTCTGGCATAAACATCTCCATGCTTTCTTCTGTACTGACTGCTTTGAATGGCATGACTAGTCCTGAAGACCATCCTCTACTCCCCTCCTTCACAAGATCTACTTCTGAAACACTAGTAAGGCAAGATAAGTTGTGGAGCTGTTATTCATTTATTTTGTTTTATTGTATTTAAAAATAAGATAAATAATTGTAAACCATTATTAAAAATGTCAACATCAATAACTTGCAAGCTTTCAACTCAATGTGATTCCAGATCTCTGTATATTTTGTTTTACACAATGTACAAACTAGGCATAGAAGAGGTCAGTTAAAAAGGCAACCATGTATTCACTGAAAATCTTAGCCATTACACAGTTTTGGGTGCTGCAATATAAAGCTTAAATAAGCTTTATACGGCAGAACCTGCAATGAAGCCTCCCTGGGAGTGGAGCCCACCAGCCCTTGCCAGCTCTGCTCCTAGGGAGGCGGCTTTACTGCCACAGTGAAGCCACCTCTTCAGGACCCTGGCCAGCAGTGGCTGCCCGCTCCACTCCCCGGGGGAGGAGGCTTTGCTGCCACCATCCTGGGAGCCAGCCTGCAGGGGCTGCCTACTCTGCTCCTGGGGAGGCAGGAGCTGTTGGTTCCACTGCTGGGGAGGCTTTGCTGCCATAGGAGTTGCTGGCCTCACTCCAGGGGAGGAGGCTTTGCTGCAGACTCTGCAGCTGGATCCTCAGGAGGGGGCCAGTAGAACCTTCTGGCCCTGCTCCCGAGGAGCCAGCATGTAATTTGTGGTAGGAGGGCCAGGCTGGGCCTGCCACAGACAGGGGGCAGGAGCTGTTGGTTCCACTGCTGGGGAGGCTTTGCTGCCATAGGAGTTGCTGGCCTCACTCCAGGGGAGGAGGCTTTGCTGCAGACTCTGCAGCTGGATCCTCAGGAGGGGGCCAGTAGAACCTTCTGGCCCTGCTCCCGAGGAGCCAGCATGTAATTTGTGGTAGGAGGGCCAGGCTGGGCCTGCCACAGACAGGGGTGAGCAGAACTTGACCTGCTCCAGCCCCTACAGTTAACCAGAACCAGAAAGCATTACCCGTTTAGAATGATGCTTGCTGGTTAACCAATAAACCTTTCGCATCCCTAGTACAATCCATCAGGGACAGAATGAGGGACTGTGGGGATTCTAAGTAGCTGACAGCACTAAATCACCATAGAATAATTACACTGAGCTCCTGGGTGAGGACCCTGCAAAGCTTGTCTTGGCAGAAAGTACCACCCCACAAAACCTGAATTCAGCCCCTACTTGAGACAGACCCTATATTCTGGCTTTCGATCCTGGCTTGTGTTTGACTTCATTATTTAATTGCTGTCTGTAACCTGGTGCCCAACCCTGATCTCCTGGTAACCTGACCCTGCCAGCCTCTTGGCTCTCACTTTGCATCTCACCTTCCTTGGACTTTGGCCTCTCAGCAACCTCACCTTGCCTGCCTCCTAATGTCTGAATTTCAATCTGCCCACTGGCCTGTCTTGAACTCTTGCCTGATTTGGCCAGACTCCTGCTCCAACCATTAGGTGTGACCACCCATGTCCTGACCATGACACATAAGCACCAACGTTCCCATTAATTTTTTCCATCTGTGTGCACTGAGGCATGTGGAGATGTGCAACACCAGTAGAATCATATGTTGCCAGCTATGTTTGCTGTGGGTTTTCTGCACATCAGCTGGGTGGCATCTGAATCCCTCCTGCGTGGCTGCCCAAGTTCTCATCTTACAGGGAACGCTAATAACTACCCATCACAATTAACTCTGGGCATAATGTACCTACATTTCTTAAACACACTGTAAAATTAATGTACCAGTGCAAAACTAGGTATAATAGAGGTATAAAATAATTGATTCCCAAAATTAAGAATTCTAATGGAGAAGACACCTTACCCCTGGTTTCATATAAAGTAAACTTCTGATAATCCGGCACCTTCAGGACCCAGGGGGTGCTGGATTATCAGATATGCCGGACTATCGGAAGGGGTGGCTATGAGGGTTCTGGAGTGGGTTGGGAGGGGCTTCCTGGAATCAGCCGCTGATCTGTTTCAGCAGCGGCTGAATCGGGGACGTCTGGAGCAAAGCATCTGGGGTGCTGCTGGTTGGTCCCGTAGCGCCGTCCCCAGTTGCTCTGCCCCAGGCGTCCCCAAGAGCAGCTGGAGTGCTGCCGGGTTGGTCTCGCAGCCCCGAGGGGCAGCGCTACAGGACCAACCCGGCAGTTCCCCAGCTGCTCTGCTCCTGGTTTCCCCGATTCAGCTGCTGGTCAGTTTCAGCAGCATCTGAATGGGGGAAGCCTGTCCGGCTGCCCCAGCACTTCCGGGTTCCTGATGGTGCCGGACCATCAGGAGTGCCGGAGCATTGGATGCCGGACTAATGGAGTTTTACTGTACATATGCTAAATCATAAAATTTCTCCTTGTGGAAAAGAACAAGGTTTTGTTTAGATGAGTGTTTCACCCACTGATGTAGTTACATTGATGTAGCTGTACAGGTATAAACCCCTATTATAGACAAGCTGCACTAGTGTAGACAACACCTTGTACAGGTGTAGTGTATCTGATCTCAAACCATGGTAAAATGCATTGCATACAAATAGGCATCTGAACTTGTGTAGTTAGATACATCTCCCATGTAAATAAGGTGAAAAGCCATGATCTGATCAGGTCTTTCACTAACCCAACAATAAACTTACACAGGAAGTGTTTGTTAAGAAACAAATTAGGAGAGATTACTGGAAATAAAAGCAACAATAATCTTTTGCCTTGTTTACATTTGGGTATTATAAAGAAAGTAAATTACTTTGTCATTTCAGTACTTTTACTCTATCACACGTGATTCTGAATTCATGATTTCTATGTTCAGGTCTTTGATATGGCTGTTTCTTACCAGTCCTATTTCTCCTAATCCAAGCTGAGCACGTCCCAAAGTCTGCCATGCCTCCCAAGAATGCGGATTTCGCTGGATGGCCATTTCTGCTGCATGCACTGCTGGGAACATCTCATGTAGAGCCATCAAGACCTATGAAAAATAGTATGTGTAGGTCAGGTAGGGATATCCAAAAATCTCAAGCAGTTAATGGAAAATCATTAATGACTAGCGTGGCAAAAGCCAGAGAGCCCTCTCCTATGGATTGTGCATAGATATATTGGCTCTGAGGGATCTCCCAGTTGCACTGAGAGGAGCACAACTTGTACTTGTAGGAACTGAAAAATTCTATTTCTTTTGTTTTTTATAGTGCAAATATTTGTAATAAAAATAAAGTGAAAACTGTAAACTTTGTATTCTGTATTGTAATTGAAATCAATGTACTGTATTTGAAAAGGTAGAAAATATCCAAAAATATGGATATAAATGATATTCTATTAACAGTGTGATTAATCATGATTAATTTTTTAATCGCACAATTCATTTTTAATTGCTTTATGGTTCTAATTAAAATATAGTAATATTCACCTGGAGGTTGGCTTTACAATCAAATCCAATCAGTAATACGAATTATTACTTCTTACTCACATTACTTTGGAATTATTTAAGCCTTACATTCTTGTGAGTTTGACTGAAGAAAACTCCTGCTTTAGATTAGCTCAATGTATTGTTATGACTGAATCAGTTTAATACATATGGGCACATACTAAGTATAGTGAAAGTGATCTGCTTTCTTGCTCCAAGAACTTGGTTTCAAAGTGCTGATGAATGAAATTCTTCATAGTTATAGTCAATAGTTTTTAGCAGACTCAATAGATAATTATTATTCCTCCAGGCTTTGACCTACCTGCTACTTCTGTCACCTAGTTTTCTGCAATTAACTTTAATTCTTTCAGTGCTAAATCTACCACTATTTTCCCATTTTAAAAGTAATCTTTAAAAATGTAGGTCTTTGATGTCTATATTTTTCTACTTTACTAATGTCTTAATAGATCAAAATAAATACTTTAAGATAAAAAATTGAAAATTTATTTTGCTTACTTCACTAGGTGTAAAGTCTGGCATGTTACTGAACCATTACAACATTTCATTAATAATCAGATTTACAAAAAATTGTAAACCACCTATTATGAGAACATTTAGAATGCAGAACACAGAGTGAATATCATATTTACATTAATAATACTTACTGAAACTCCAAAAGAAATATAGTAATTATTATATATGAGAGCACAGAGTTCATGTAGATCAGTATCCTGGCCCTGACAATGCTATCAGAGGAAGAATTCCTGCCCCACTCACACTCCACATTAGATCTCCTCCGAATGCCTAGACTGACTTAAAACCTGAAGCATGTGACTTCTTATCCCTTCCTAAAGCTGTATATTCTTGTTATCCATTTATCCAAATAAATGTACAATTCCTTTCTTAATCTTCTTACATTCTTGGCCTTAATTACTTCCTATGGCAATAAGTCTCAAAGACTAAATGTGTATTGTTTTAAAAAGTATATCCTTTTACCAGTTTTGATTTTTCTACCTTCTAAAAGGAGCAATGAACTCAGGAAAGGTGGAATCCTATGTCTCATTTTTAATTGCTTTATGGTTCTAATTAAAATATAGTAATATTCACCTGGAGGTTGGCTTTACAATCAAATCCAATCAGTAATACGAATTATTACTTCTTACTCACATTACTTTGGAATTATTTAAGCCTTACATTCTTGTGAGTTTGACTGAAGAAAACTCCTGCTTTAGATTAGCTCAATGTATTGTTATGACTGAATCAGTTTAATACATATGGGCACATACTAAGTATAGTGAAAGTGATCTGCTTTCTTGCTCCAAGAACTTGGTTTCAAAGTGCTGATGAATGAAATTCTTCATAGTTATAGTCAATAGTTTTTAGCAGACTCAATAGATAATTATTATTCCTCCAGGCTTTGACCTACCTGCTACTTCTGTCACCTAGTTTTCTGCAATTAACTTTAATTCTTTCAGTGCTAAATCTACCACTATTTTCCCATTTTAAAAGTAATCTTTAAAAATGTAGGTCTTTGATGTCTATATTTTTCTACTTTACTAATGTCTTAATAGATCAAAATAAATACTTTAAGATAAAAAATTGAAAATTTATTTTGCTTACTTCACTAGGTGTAAAGTCTGGCATGTTACTGAACCATTACAACATTTCATTAATAATCAGATTTACAAAAAATTGTAAACCACCTATTATGAGAACATTTAGAATGCAGAACACAGAGTGAATATCATATTTACATTAATAATACTTACTGAAACTCCAAAAGAAATATAGTAATTATTATATATGAGAGCACAGAGTTCATGTAGATCAGTATCCTGGCCCTGACAATGCTATCAGAGGAAGAATTCCTGCCCCACTCACACTCCACATTAGATCTCCTCCGAATGCCTAGACTGACTTAAAACCTGAAGCATGTGACTTCTTATCCCTTCCTAAAGCTGTATATTCTTGTTATCCATTTATCCAAATAAATGTACAATTCCTTTCTTAATCTTCTTACATTCTTGGCCTTAATTACTTCCTATGGCAATAAGTCTCAAAGACTAAATGTGTATTGTTTTAAAAAGTATATCCTTTTACCAGTTTTGATTTTTCTACCTTCTAAAAGGAGCAATGAACTCAGGAAAGGTGGAATCCTATGTCTGTAGGGAATGGCACTTCGGGCAACGGATTATTTATCAGTTATAAGTATCCATGCCTGGAGACTTAACTAAAAATTAGGATCTAAATGCATAAAACAATTGTTCTATATATGTTCTTTCTGATTTCTAATTGAAAGCAGCCACAAACTCATATGGGATGTGTGCATTTGCCAATCCAGTGTTTTTACTAACATCAATAAGCTTTACATTGCATATTACGTGAAGATACTTGTACACCACTTTGAATATAAGAAGTACTGTTTAATATTATTATTACTCCAATGAACCCTAGTTCACTGATATTGAAATATATTTAAAATTGATATGTAAGGGGTCCTAAAACTTCTTGCAAACACCTACAAGAAAGCTGTATGCATAATTTTCTCCACACTTGGGACTTTTTCCAAGTGAGCCATACAAGTGTTTAGCAAATGGTGCAGTAACAATGGTGCAATTTAACTTTTCTTTGTACATTCTGAACTGTAAATTCAAAAGAAGGTATTATATGTTTGCTCATAACATTTTCTATGTACTTAATGTCTCTACACGGGAGCCAACAGCCTCGCCAAGTCACAGGGGGGAGAGAGGGAGCTGACTCTGTGCTTCCAGAAAGGGTGGGGCCTCAAGAGGAAGGGCAGGGGCAACCAGCCTTCAGTGCTGCCAGACTATGGCATGTGCCCCCCCAAGCCACTCCTTAGTGCTGCCCAGAGTGGTGGCAGTGGCATGGAGCCCCAGGCCCTTCTGAATTGCTGGACCCTGGGGCAACTGTCCCCTTTAACTTCCTTTCCCCCCATCGACAGGCCTGTGTCTGTATGTAGTTATGTATGCCCCAGTGACAGCAATGCAAAGATTCTCAGCCACTTCTGTGGGCTTTGAATCAAATCCTAGTTAAGCAATTACAGTACACATGTCCCATATGGGTTTTTGTAAACCAGGGGTGGAAAACCTAAGGCCCAGGGACTAGATGCCGCCACCAGCAAACTTAGATCCGGCCCCCGAGGCTCAGGGTTTCTCCCTCCCAGCATTGGGGAGCCCATGCTGGCGCTCCAGTTCTCCTGCTGGCCCACCACAGGACTGGAGCATACAAAATCTACTAGCCTGGCTCCCCCCACTCTCCCAAGCTTTGCTGTGCAAGGGGAATGTAGAGAAGTGTCCTTCTCAGTCAGGGACCACATCAGTGAGGGTTTGAGGAGATGGGTTTCTTTTTTGCTTCTTGTGTGCAGCCCCCGACTGATTTTTCTGTGGGTTAGTGGCCCCCGACCCAAAAAAGGCTCCCCAACCCTATAAACAGGGCTCGACAAATTATAGAAAACCCTACTCGCCAGACAAAAAAGGGACTTGCCACCCCCACCGTGTGACCCCCACCACGCAGGCGCGTGCCACCTGGAGAACGGGACAACCAGGATGGCTTCTGTGATGGGGCGGGGCCACTCAGCAGCGGCGAGGATGACCCGGCCCGCACTTCAATGGCGCCGACCCCCGTGCTGCATGGGCACGCAGAGTTCTGACAGCGGTCTGTGCTGCTTGCTCCCGTGCGGCCGCCCAGCTGAGCAGTGTGGCCAAGTCCTAGGTCAGGAGCCGGAAGCGGGGCGGGGCCGCACGTGGGCTTAGCGTGGGGCCAGAGTGTACGTGTGTCCCTGACATCAGGGGAAGAGGAGCCAGTGAAAGAGAGCGCCGCATTCAAAAGGGGAGCAGAGGAGAGCAGAAGAGAGGAGGGAGGAGACGGAGGAAGAGGGGAGAACAGAGGAGTGAGCTAGAAGATAGCAGTGGGCGGAGGAGTGAAGGGTGAGAACGGAGGAGGACGGGAGTCAGAGGAGGTCAGAGAAGGCATGAGGGAGACAGGGAGTGGAGAGAGCAGAGCATGGGAGCAGAGAACGTGAAAGGAGAAGCGGAGGTAGGAAGCAGCCCAGAGTGGAGACACTAAGGAGCCCCATCCTGGGCTGCTTCCTACCTCCGTTTCTCCTTTCACGTCCTCTGCCCCCACGCTCTGCTTCACTCCCCGTCTCCCTCCTGCCTTCTCTGACCTTCTCCGTCTCCTGTCCCCCTCCGCTCTCACCCTTCACTCCGTCCACCACCATCTTCTAACTCACTCCTTTGTTCTCCCCTCTTCCTCCGTTACTCTCCTCCATCCCCTCTGCCTTCCTCCACTGCTCTCCTTTTGAATGCGGCGCACTCTTGTGCTGGCACCTCTCCCCCTGACGTCAGGGACACTTCTGCCTTCCTCCGCTGCTTTCCTTTGAATGCAGCGCTCTCTTTCACCAGCGCCTCTCCCCCTGATGTCAGGGATGTACTCACACTCTGGCCCCGCCCCCACTTCCAGCTCCCATCCCAGGACTCAGCCCTCCTGCATGCCGCTCAGCTGGGCGGACGCATGGGAGCAAGCGGCACAGACCGCTGTCAGAATGCCGTGCTGCCCGTATAGCACGGGGGTCGGCACCATTGAAGTGCGGGTTGGGTCGCCCTCACCACCACGGGGCGGTTCTGCCGCGTCACAGCTCGCCAGCTGCCAAAATCTACTTGTCAATGGCGAGTGGATTTGTCCAGCCCTGCCTACAAACATACACTTCCTGCCCTCAATTAGGACCTGAAAGCCTCATTTCCTTTCTTCAAAAATTCTTAAAATTTATGTACCCAATAAAATAAAACAGATGTTCATGAAAATATGAACAGGTGATTATTTAGTTTCTGTCTGTAAATATTTACGGATTCTTACTATGTCTTCAGACAGCATATTTATTTAAGCTTTTTATTAAACAGCAAAGTAATCTGTACATTTACAATATATTATTTTATAGTTCAGTAAATTAGAACACTGCTACATATTAATATAAAATATCCCTAACAGACCTAACTAATTAAGAGGACTAAAGATACACACATTTTACGCAAATAGTTCCTTCTGTGCTAATCCTGAAAACATACCCTAACAGCTGAATGTGTCAGAGGGGTAGCTGTGTTAGGCTGTAACTGTTAAAAAGAGGAGTCCTAATAAGTTTGTTCGTCTCTAAAGTACAACAGCTCATGAGCTTTCGTGGGGAAAACCCACTTCATCAGATGAGCTGTAGTAGAAATTACAGAATCCAGGATATATATAACAGCAAAAGAAGTTATCTGTCAATTGTAGAACCAGTGTTAATGAGGCTAATTAAGTCAGGGTGGTGGGTCTCATGTGCATCATTTGATGTGGAGATGCAACTATAAAAAGAGGTTGCCTTTGTAGTACATTAACCAATTAAAATCTTTATTCAAGCCTAAGTTGATAGTGTTGAATTTGTAAAAAACTCCAGTTCAGACGTCTCCCTCTGTAATCAGGCGATAAAGTTCATTTGTAGAAAGATGGCTACTTTTAAATCTAATACTGAATGTCCAGGGAGCTTAAAACGTTCCCCAACAGGTTTATGTGTATTACTATTCCTGATGTCTGATGTGTGTCCATTTATCCCTTGTCACAGAGACTGTCCAGTTTGGATAATATACATGTCAGAGGGACACTGCTGGCACCTGATGTTATATGTTTTCATTAGTGGATGTACAGTTATATGAGTCCCTGATGGTATGGCTTTTATGGTTAGGTCCTTTTGTGGTGTCACTTTTATAGATATGTGGACAGAGTTGGCAACGGGATTTGTTGCAGGGATAGGTTATGGGTTAAGTTTTTCTGTGGTGTGTGTGGGGCTACTAGTTAAGTATTTGCGTCAGGTTTGGGGGCTGTCTGTAGGTAAGGACTGGCCTGTCTCCCAAGGTCTGTGAGAGCGAGGGATAGTTTCCCAGAACAGGTTGTATATTGTCAGTGATGTGCTAGAGGGGTTTAAGCAGGATGCTGTAGGCAATCACCAGTGATGTTCTGTTATTTTTCTTCTCGGGCCTATCTTGAAGTAGGGGACTTCTGGGTACTCTTCTGACTCTGTCAATCTGTTTCCTCACTTCTCCAGCTGGGTATATCAAGCAATCTTTAAACTTAAATATGCACCTGGGGAAGTGAGGAAAAGACCTCCAAGTGATTCTAAACAATCCTTGCAGTTAATGCCAAGAAAGTCTAAGTAGGAATCACATTCTGTAATGAGTTACTCACACAATGACAATTCAACACTTTTTCTGACAAATTTATTTTTTGCTCAGTGAATGTATTATTGTTCCTCTAAATTTGTAGTTAACAAATTAATTGTCTGATTGAAGTTGGTTTGATGGGTTGGAACAAATTATCTAAGTGTAAGAAAATACTGTTTAAATATTAACAATAATATTTTTTGAATGAATTACATATTCCAATTTTGGCATAAACAATATTTTCACTGTTCAGACTAGTGCCTTTAAAAGCAGAAGGGCATCAAATTACACAAAAGTTATGCTTACTGGAAGTTAGTTAACAGAAGTCATACTGTAAATGACATCTGTACTAGCCATTTGCTTGCAAATATAAGAACGCTGCCAATTTACGTAATGCCCAAAATTTAGGTTTTATATTAAAAAAAAGGTTTTAGACAACTGCACAGGTAAGAAATTATTTCTTTACATTTTCAAAATATGTTTATATTTGAACATTCTCATGCACAGCTGTGAATGTGATCACAAAAGTATGAATGAAGGTCAAGTTCTTGGTCCTTAGCTTCAAGGTACTCCATGGCCTGAGTCCCAGGTGGCGAAAAGATCATCTAAAGCTCCAGGACAAAGCTGGTGGTTGGCAACTGCAAGGGAACTCTCAACTATAAGCAAAAAATTTGTGCAGGAGAGGGCTACTCTGAGACTATGGAATTCGCTTCCCCAGCAACTAAAAACTGTCACAAACCTTACCTCTTTCTGCTCCAAGAGTAAAGTGCATTTCTTTGATCTTACCTACTTCTAATATAAACAAATAGAAACAGGTACATTTATATTTAAAAAACTGAAAGACTCACACACTAGCAAAAGAAGACACTCTGCTGGACATGTTTCCCTCTCTGGAGGGAGGAGGAGAGAACAAACAACATATGACAGATGCATTGCTTACTACCATGATGAGTGAGGTATAAAAATAAAGAATACAAAAAAGCTCTGCTGAAGGGCTCACATATAATTAACTAAGTAATAAACATAGATTAATAATTCCAAGGCCAGACATGACCACTGTGTTCACTAGACTAAACTCTTTTATAACACAGGCCACAGAATTGTTCTCAACATAATTCCTAGGACATATCTTTTAGAGGAAAAAAATCCAACCTTGAGTTTAAAATGTTCAGTGATGGAAAATCCACCATAATCTTTGGAAAATTGTTCCAGTGGCTAATTACCCTCTTTGTCAAATATGTACATTTTATTTTCAGCTTGGATTTGACTAGCTTCAACTTCCAGCCATTGGATCATGTTATACCATACCCAATAAACTGACAAGTCCAGTTGTAAATATTTGTTCCCCATGTAGACTGTGAACCACAGACTGTAATCAAGTCATCTCTTAACCTTCACTTTATTAAGCTATATAGATCAAGCTTCTTGAATCTGTCACTATAGAGCATATTTTTCTAATCCTTTAGTTATTCTAGTGGGTAATCTCAAGTCCCCTTCCAATTTGTCAATACCCCTCTTTAATTATGGACACCAAAATAAGACACAGTATTCCAGCAGCAGTCATACCTCTGCTTTGATTCAAGATTTCCTTATTTATGAATTTAAGGGTCACATTAGTCCCTTTACCTACAGTGTTGCACTAGAAGTTCACATTCAGCTGATTATCGAACATGACACTGTAATCTTTTTCATAGTCGCTGCTTTGCAGGTTAGATTCCTATAAGTATGGTCTATATTCTTTATTCCTAGATGTACAGAAGAGATCATATCAGTGATGCACAGCAGGCATGTTTTACCGTAGTGTGGCTAAATTCAGAAGTAGTCTGGCCACTAACATTGTTATGATAGATAAGAGGCAAAAAGAAGCAAATCACCCACATGAACAGGAAAAAAAACCCCTAAAATACCTTAAATAAAAACACAAAATGGCTTACTAAAAGCTTAACTGAAAAGTAAAATAATGTAATAGAATGTTTGAACCCATAGATCTCATCTTTTCTCCCTCTTACTGGCTCCTCATTTCCAATTCAAAAGCATAGTACAAACAGATGGGAAATCTTATTTTTCTACTTAGGTAAAAGGGGGACATAAGCACATGAACATGCATAAAATAATGGCATCCAGTAACTTTGCCATTGAAGCCACTGAGAGCTCATCAGTTTTCTTAATCCATATAGCTGATACTGAAAACTCATTCAGGGCTCAGTTACAACTTAATTCAAACTGGTCTGTAAATACATCCCTCATTTAAGATAATTGAATCAGGGAAGGAGACATACCTAAAACAGGACTAATACATTCTGCCCAGGAATTAACACCATATGGTAGGTGGGAGGGTTCCACTTGGTATTGCAACTAGGTGTGTAAATGAACACACAGAAGCAAAGAAGGGACAAGAAGAGAGCTAGAGGCAGAAGCATCAAAACAAGAAAGCCATGACATAACCTGCAAGCGTAGTGAGTCTTGGAAAAATTAGAGAGCTTTGGGTCTGTTGCCTAAAGAGGTCAGGAGCACAAAGCTAAAAAGTTGCTTCTTTTGTTCTTGATTCCTCCTCAGTTTAGAGAAGTGGGACTTTGTACTTTCCTTGTAAATAAACAAAACTGCATCAAAGAAATTGCAGACTCCAGCTTTTTCTAATTGGAACAGCCTCATAACCCCAAAATTTGACTAGCTGCATGGGAAGAAAAGGGACAACATTACATATCAAAGTTTCAGTGTAGTGTTGGTGGACACTGGAGCCTTAATCCGTCAGAACAACCCTGACGATTGAGACTAATCAATGTATTTAAACTAAATTCATCTTCCTTCAAAGTTTGTGCAATGAGTGTGCATGTGTGTGTCATACCACATAAACTTTTTTTTTTGAGAGAGAGGGAGGGGAGAGAGGAAGGAGGTGGCAATAAACTAAATCTTCGGTAAGATCATATGGATTTTTAATGGTAGATTCAAAGATTTACCACTTAGATTTACTAGATTTACCTACCTGGAGTAACAGTAATATAATTTTTAAATGTCTCAATTTAAAATTTACACTTAGATATTTGCCAAATTCATACCTAGACAGAGATGTTATCATGGTATGCTTGACACGGTTAACAATTCTCTAACTTGTAGAACATTCCCTGTTGTGCTGAAAGGGGAAAAAGAGGATCTATCCCTGACCCTGTAACAAGCAATATTTAATAAATTCAGGGACCAAAATCCAGTTGAACTCTTATTACACACCCAAACGGCGGCAGGGCTTTAGGTATAATCTATTGAAGACTACAATGTAACTTTGGATTTCTAAATTAACAAAGAATTTTCATGAGTTTACCTGTGATTTCATTTCATAAAGTGTAGCATCTTCTGGAGTTAACTGAAGTGCTTCATCCCATTTGTGAACAGCTTCCCAGTACCTGTAGTTGTTAAAACAATATTATGTTCTCACTATGTTTATAAATGGTTTAGACTGGGTATTTCAAGTGATATCATCCTTACTACCAAAATATTGAAGCATCTCACAAACATTACTGAATTTACTATCAAAACACCCCACAATACAGGGAAATATTTCCTCTGTTTTCCGTATGGGAGAACTGAGGCATCAAGAGATTAAGAGCTAGGCCTAACAAATGAAGCCAGATTTTTAAAAGTGCTCTGAACCAACAGCTTTCACTTATGCCCAGAGTTTCAAAACAACTCAGGCGTCAACATGCAGAGCTCATTTTGAAAAAATATCTACTTATTTTGATGCCTAAAAGACGAGCTCTCTTGAAAATCTGATCTTGACTCTGGATGCCAAGCACTTCTGAAAATCTCAGTGATTTGCCACGGGTCCCAAAGTAAGCTCCTGGCAGAGCTGAGAACTAGAACCAGATCTTGTGACTCTCAGTCCAATTCCTCCATTTCAAAACCATCCTTTTTCTCTGTTCCTTGGTTTGGGATTAAATAGTAGCAATGATCACTGATCATCCTGATCACGCATGACATACACTTCATGTAAAAATTCTTTCTAGTGTAAGAGGTTGACTGAAATTTGGCCTACCCAATTTATTTCTTCTATTGCAATTAGAGAGACAATGTATAATCACTACACTACATTATGATCTTTCTAAAAATGAGATTATGATTAAAGTAATAGAACTGGAAGGAACTTGGAGAGGTCAACTCCAGTCCCCTGCAATCATGGCAAAACTGTGATTCGGAAACCAAGTTCTCATCTTTTAAAAACATCTTTCTTTTTGCTTGTTCTTGTGACATTTGAAAATGAGCGTCTTGTGTGAATATAGCTGTCCATAACTAGGAATGCAAAACAAATCATACCGTCTAGCAAACATAGGTGTGCTAGCAAAGCCTCTGAGAGGCATAACTATGCCAACAAGAGAGTGCTTTTATTGATGGAGCTAATGTTCTCTGGGGAGGTGATGTGGCTATGTTAGCAGAAGAGCTCTCATTTACAGGCTTATAATGCATCTATGCCAAGGGTTCTGTAGGCACATCTGTACCGACCAAGGCTCTGTAATGTAGACAAACCCTTAAAGGACTGGTATAAGACAGAGGTGGGCAAGAGGCTGCTAGCAGGCTGGATCCAGCCCATGGTGGCCTCACTGGGACCCTTAAGCGCAGTGCAGCTGCAGCCACTTTAAACGTGGCTGCTCTATTCTGGAAGGAAGGAGGGAAGCTTTGTGCTCTATCCCACCCCTCAGCAAAATCTCTTAGCTCCCATTGGCCAGTTTCCGACCAATAGCATCTGAAATATTTTGCTGGTGGCAGGGGCAGCCAATGAAGCCTTCTCCCTGTTTCCCCTGCTCCCCCTTCACCCTGCTGGAGCAGAGCACATGGAGCAGCTTGTGACTGCAGCCTTTAGATTCCTACTGGGCTGCTGATTGGGAGTTGCCTTAGGAGTAAGCGCCTACCAGCGCTAGAGCCTGCCTCTAGCACCCCCACTCTCTCCCGCCCCATTACCTGCCCCAGGCCACCACCCACACTCTCTGTACTCCTCTCTCCCAGGTCGCAACTCCCTCCCAGACTCTGCACCCTCTCCTACACCCTCACCCAGGCCAGAATCCTCTCTGGCACCCATAGCCCCACCCTGACCCTGCACCCCATTCCCCTGCCTCAAGTCATCACTCAAACCCTCTGCACCCCCTTCACCCAGGTCACAACTTCCTCCCAGGGTCCCTCCCTCAAGCCAAAATCCTTTCCTGCACCCATACTTCCTCCTGGACTCTGCCCCAGATCACAATCCCTTCTCCCCTTCACCCAAACTTCCTTTCAGACCCCACACCCCCTCCTGCACCACAGCCTCCTACCGCAAGCTCCCTTCTGCACCCAACCTCTGTCCCAGACCCCAAACTCCCTTGGCGGAAATGCGGCCCTTGACCATTTGCCAAAAACTTGGAGTGGCCTCCCATTACAATTATTGCCCACCCCGGTATAAGATCTGCTGGCAGAAGAGCTTTTATGTTGGTATGAACTGTGTATGCAGTAGGAGTATTTGCCTATGCAGCTATACAGGCAGCTCTCCCATGCCGCCTACTGTAGTTAAATTGGTGCAACCAGTGGTGGAAACTAAAGTAAGAGTGTCAACACAAAAAAATGCCACCAAATTGGCTATATCAGTTTCTAAAAACCATTTAGATAATTTGGTGCATTTTTTTCATGTATACAAGTCCTAAAAGTTTTTCATTCTGTTCGCTTACCAATTACTAAGTGGAGGAGAAATATGCTACAGCCGATTTTCATACTTTCCCATTATTCTCTTCTCTCAATGAATTCTCTCTTTCATACAGACGACTGAAAGAACACTATAAAATAGTTCACAACAGATTGACCTGTAGTGATGCTTAGTTCATTAGTTTGTAAGATGATCCTAGGATCCAAAGGCTTCAGTGTGTACTTTAACATGAAATAGTATAGAGATGGAATAGTACAGACTATGGGTTCATATATGTCCTGATTTACTGCCCTCTGAAGTTACTGAAAGTCTTTCCAATGACTTCAATTAGTTTTGATTAGGCTTACATTGTGTAACCTTTAACTGAATGTATCTATGATATTCATTTTAAATATACAGCAAAATTTAAATATACAGCAAAATTAGCTGTGTATGCACACATGCACAGTGTGGTCTACTTTTAACATGAATTAGTGTTAAAATATTACATATGTTTTTACACCAATAAACTACTGTACATATTAAATGCAATTTTCAATTGCACATTAATGATGAAATCATAACTCTTTTTCCACGGCATTCAAAGGCATTTCTCCTTAATGAGTGATTTCTCTCTGATAAATTTCAGCTTTGAATTCTGCTGCTTAGGTGCTAGAGCTATTAAAATTAGCAACAAGCTATATATACACTGCAACTTCTTATATAATATGTATAAAACTTGGACAAATTTCACACACACACACACACACCCCTTTCACAAACAAAATAGATGACAGATGTTTTTATCCTATATTTGTTTTAAAAAAAAAGCGCAGCTCTGGCAGGGACGAAGTCTGGAAAATTTCAGCCTAATAGGTGAAGATTTCTTATTATTATGAGTGACTGAAAACAGATTATAATAGAAACCCCTTGGGCAATCTTAAACTATAATTGTCACTAGCTCTTCAGCTATAATTACCCTTTTAAAAAGTTTACAGATGAAAATTGCTGACAACTATGTTTATAATTCAAGTTAAATATAAGCCAAAGGAATGTGTTTTCATATTTTCTCCCAGTTAAACAAACAGCTTAGTGCTCACATTTCAGAAAAATAGTTGGCAATCTTAAGGTGAGGGGAAGGAAAGAGGAGGAGAAGGAGCAAGATGTCTTATAGACACTGTGGGGCAGGGACTGTCATTTTTTATATATTTATATAATATCTAGCACAGGACTACCACAATATAAATGTTAAATAGCAACCAGGATTGGACAAGCATGGAAACCCCTCACTTCAATCATTAGACATGTTGGCAAGGCAGTCAAAGACAAGCTGCATTAGGATGGCATGTGGAACTGGAAAGCATACTTGAAAGCAAGTTATGGTCCAATGGGAACTGTGTGACAATCACAAAATGAGGAAATAAGGTAATGACACTGCATCTGATCAGAAAGAATGGTAGAAGTGGAAAGGCAAAAAGATGAGTGACAAGACAAACTAAATGTGTTGGCTGTTTTAATCATAATTCTGTGGTTCAGGTGTGGTGGTTTGCCCTGAAAATAGATTGTAAGCAATGGATTTTAGAAAGGATAGGGACATCAAGCGAAAGGGTACTTTTCCATCCGTTGGGATAGAATGATGCCCATTAGAGGAATTCCTGTGGCACGTTAAGAGACTAACAGATTTATTAATTAGGGCATAAGCTTTCATGGGTAAAAAACACTTCATCAGATGAACTGGAGTGGAGTTTCCAGAGGCATGGGTAAAAGGACAACAAAAGAAACAGATCTTGTGTAAATGGGGCTAATCAAGTCAGGGTGAAAGTGGCTCTCTCAAAGCAATTGGTGTAGAAATCAAGTGAGGGAATATCATCTTTGTCATGTGTTAACCCAGGGCTACTCAACTTTGGAAGCCCCGGGGACCACAATGATACTCACAGCACATGCAGAGGGCCGCAACTTAAGTGTGGTTGCATATACATGTCAATATATATGCAAATAGCTTACTTCACACTGATTGGCATGAATACAAAGATTAAGGCAAGATATACAACACGCAGGCCCCATTTAAGTCAGTTCTGCTGATAATAATAAAATGCAATATTTACCCGATTTCTACCCATATGACAGCACTTTTAATGAGCAATGACAGTTCAGAAATTTAACTAATAAAATGCAGAAGACCATTATACTGACTTGCTGTTGTGAAGCGTGTTCCCAGTGGAGGCCATGTTCAAAGGATCCCACCCGTGGGCTATGTGTTGAGCCCTGCATAAATCAAACTCATTGCGGGCAACAAACAAATGGCCTATGGGCCACATGTGTTGAGTAGCCATCCGTTAACCAATTAAGATCCTTATTCAATCCTAAATTAATAATATTGAATTTGCAAATGAATTCCAGTTTAGCTATCACCCTTTATAATCAGGTTTTGAAATTATTTTACAGAAGGATCATCATCATCATCAACAACCATGGGCTCAACACTCGTTGGTGTCCAGGGCTTCTCTCACTATTTCCTTTCATCTTTCCCTGTCCAATGCGGAGTGGCTTAGTCTACAGAAATTATCTCCACACCAATTTACTATATCATCTGCCCATTCTCTGTGGGGTCTGCCTCTACTATTCAAACCATCCATTATGTGAAATACCAAGGTCTTGACTTTTCACTCGTCATTCATTCTGCAGATATAGCTGTAGCTTCCGCTGTATAACCTTCTGCAGTAGGCTCTCTTTCGGATGTATCTTCGTATATAATTCCTC